AAATAAATTAATTCAATTCAGTACTTAAAAAATGAAAAATACCATGATCCGTGAAGCAGTATATATGTATGTATAGGTTCTTTCATATGGAAAAATACAAAAGAAGAATGCCGAAATATTAAGAAAATATGGTGCCCACTGCTTTTTCTCCTATAAATTCACTCTTACAGCTTAAGATGGCAAATTTCTAGAGAGGCTGGTTAGCACATGCCGGAGAAGTTGGGATCAGGATTCAGGTACTTACCCGGTCTCTGGGGCCCACACACTTGACCCTTCACTAGAACCGCAGCCAGTAGAAAAACCAAATCCAGCACTAATTAATATCTCTCCTTCTCCTTCCCCCCCTTCTTCCCAGTTCCCCAGCTACCCAACAAGTAAATTTTGTGTTGTAAGATTCTAAAATGCCGTCTCCAATACTCTAATGTTGGCAGATACTTCGCTAAACTCTATTCCTATATAGCAGTTGTGTTTTGGAACATCTCACATGAGCATTGCAGAAGTGCTGTTTTACTACCCATCTGTGTACCACAAAAATATTCTCAATAGCAGTTGGTGTTATTTGTCAAGAAATTGCCGCAACTGATGACCATGCACTTAATCCAGTTGATTCTATGGAGACAGACTGCTCACACTGCCTGCCCCAGCTTCATAAATCGATCGTAAAACAGTTTATTTATTTAATGGATATTAATAGACATAGGCTCAGATTTCCATAATGGTCATGTGACACAGAACTGTAAATGTTTCGTCACTTGCTTTTTGGAAATAAGAGATCTTATATTAGAGACTATAAAATGGGGAGACAGATAGGAATATAACCTCTTCCCTAATTTATAAAATTGCATTTCCTATTAATGTCACTTAAGTTTTGCTGTCTAAATGTAGGGAGGGCCTAAATGTAATTACCGAGTCTTTTCATAAAGTTAATCCTAAAAAATTAAGTGCTACCGTCAATAATAAAATAATCATAGAATAAACTGTTAATTTTTATTTATCATTTAAGGACATTTATGACATGAAGTATTAATGTTATTAATTTTGGAAATGGAGGAAGGGGTAATTATTTTTCATAACTGAGATGTCACCAAATACTAAGACTTGGGAGTGGACTTCTATCTTTTTTTTTTGAGACAGAGTCTCACTCTGTTGCCCGGGCTAGAGTGCTGTGGCGTCAGCCTAGCTCACAGCAACCTCAAACTCCTGGGCTCAAGCGATCCTTCTGCCTCAACCTCTTGAGTAGCTTGGACTGCAGGCATGCACCACCATGCCCGGCTAATTTTTTCTATATATTTTAATTTAATTAAAATTAATTTCTTTCTATTTATAGTAGAGACGGGATCTTGCTCTTACTCAGGCTGGTCTCGAACTCCTGAGCTCAAACGATCTACCCAACCTTGACCTCCCAGAGTGCTAGGATTACAGGCGAAGCCACTGCCCGGCCGGGAGCAGACTTCTAATGAAAGCCTCCAAAGAGAAATTCGTGCTTGTAGGACTTAGAATCGTTTTTTACTCCTGGCAGGAAGGATTGGTAGGAGAGTCCGGTTAGGTTTTACTGTTCTTTTACCTTCCTGGTAGTAGCCAGGGCATTGCTGAGTCAGCGTTCCCGTCATTCATGAGAAGTGCACTCGCTGACTCTTGGACTTTGTCCCATCCTCCAGGATGGTGCATGTATACTCACTCATGCCAGTTATTGCCCATAAATGAGCAGCACAGAGCAGTAGCGTGCCTATGTCACAAGCTGTCCCTCAAGCAGCCTGGCTCTGTAAACGGGTCACCTGAAGGAGGACGCTCTGTGCTTGCAGGAGTCCCCTCTGTTCTCAGAGTTCAGGCTTCCATATCCTGGTTTCCTCTCCAAGACTGTCTTTTTTGCATCCGTGTGTTTGGATTTAGCTCCTTCAGGTCCTGTTTACTTTCTGTCTCCCCCAACGATAGGGCCAATGCCACAGATATTTGATAAGGAAGCTGCCACCATTCAGAGCTCAACTGGGCATCACCAAAGCCACCTTGACTCTACGGCCGTGATCATTTTTCCCCCCATCAATAAACTCTAACACAATCTACAATTCTCTGCTTAGCTTAAAAGCTAGATCTGTGGACCCAGGCAGGGGTAATGATGTCATAAGTGATATTTTTAGAATTTTGTTGCCGTCCTTTGATTAGAAATATGGGGGTTAGATATTGAGAAAAAGACAGTTGATGTTAAAGGAAAAAAAAGAAAGAATTTTACATTGGAAATAAGTGGAAATATAATATAAATCACTATTTGACCGTTTATTATGATGCTGCCAAACCTAAAAATCAGATCCTTTACATATTTTCAGCAGTGGACAGTTGTAGAGGAAGTACTCAACTTATTTCATTTGTCAGTGCCAAAGATCAGTCACACTGCAGCGGTCCCCAACCTTTTTGGCGCCAGGGACCGGTTTCGTGGAAGACAGTTTTTCCACGGACCAATGGGGGGGGGGAGGCGCAGCAGAGGGATGGTTTCAGGATGATCCAAACACATTACCTTTACTGTGCACTTTATTTCTGTTATTATTACATTGTAATTAATATGTCGTGAAATAATTATACAGCCCAGCCTAATGCAGAATCTAATGTCACCGCCGATCGGACAGGAGGCGGAGCTCAGGCGGTGATGGGAGCGACGGGGAGAGGCTGTAAATACAGATGAGGCTTCGATTGCTCACTTGCCGCTCTCCTGTGTGCGGTAGTGGTCCCTGGCCCAGGGCTTGGGGACTGCAGGGCCATAGAATTATGTAATGATACCTGTGGTGCTTGATAGAATGTTTTTAAATCCAAATTTTTAAAAATGGACTTACATAAGGTCATCCTTTTGACACTTGTCTGATGTTCTTGGATGGTCTTCAAAAACTATTGATTATAATTTTTAAAAATTATCCCTTGGAGATTTTTACTCATGAGAACCAAAACAAAGTAGATGTCATGAAAATCACTGGCCTGTATTCACTTCTGAATAAATAACCACTAAAAACATACAAACATTCTGAAATCAAACCCTCCATGGCTTTTGTTTGTTTAACCATTTTAAGTGATACGATTTCAGTTGTGTTGCACACTTCTTGTCTTTTAGATAATACACGGTGAAAATAATTTAACTCTTTTTTGAGGACTGTGTGCTTAGCACAGTGCCTTATGTATAGGAGGCACCTGATATGTTATAAAATCCTTTCCTGTTAAATGTGATCTAATACAACAATGGAATCAGGGAACTACTGAAGTTTGAAGGTCTGTTTGCACCTGTACTAATGATCCCAGACTGTAGTCTTTTTTGTAATTGGTGATCATTCTGTCTGCTTTCTCAGTGCCTTATGCTACTGTGTAGGGTCAAGGGGTCTGAACCACTTCCTCACATCAAATTTTCTGAGACGTCTCAGTAAGGCCAGAACTGAAGCTCAGCAGAGGAAATGAGATGTCCAGCTCGTTACATCGTTAACTTCATTTGTATACTCAGATCCCTCTAGATTCTGGCCAGTAGAACCTGGGGCCAACAGTCAGCTGGGGAGGATGGTGGGAGTGGGCGTGTACTTTTTTATTTATTTATTTATTTTTTTGAGACAGAGTCTCACTCTGTTGCCCAGGCTAGAGTAAGTGCCGTGGCGTCAGCCTCGCTCACAGCAACCTCCAACTCCTGGGCTCAACCGATCCTCCTGCCTCAGCCGCCCAAGTAGCTGGGACTACAGGCATGCACCACCATGCCCAGCTAATTTATTCTATATATATTAGTTGGCCAAGTAATTTCTTTCTATTTTTAGTAGAGACGGGGTCTTGCTCTTGCTCAGGCTATTTTCGAACTCCTGACCTTGAGCGATCCTCCCGCCTCGGCCTCCCAGAGTGCTAGGATTACAGGCATGAGCCACTGCGCCTGGCCAGGTGTGTGCATTATGGGCAGGTATTTTTTTATTCACAGTGTAAAGCTCCTATCTTTCCTTCTCCTTCAAAACTTCTGACACCCTCTTCAAAGGTACGCTTCCCAAGACACAGGCTGTTATTTCATGTCTCCATGTCTCAGTTTCCACATCTGTTAAATGGGGATGTTAATAGTATCCACTTAATAGGGTTATTGTGAGAATTAACTGAGTTAATATTTATAATGTTCTTAGAGCCATGGTACATAGTAAGGGTTAAACAATTTAAAAAAAAAAAGATTATCAGACCACTGGATAAGAGGTTCTTAAAGCTTCTTTAAAAACAGAGAAAGATCTGAGAAGATACTTCATCTAGGGGAGGGTGATTCACACTTCCTTTTGCAAGGTGGAGAAATGTGAAGGAATTTGTATCCAAAGGAGCAGAACTGAAAGGCATTACCTAAAACATCTGTAGCAAATGTTGGCAGCGAGCCTAGGTCCCGACTGGATGAAGTAATATATGGGAAGATGCTCATAGCAACTCCTTTGGGGCTCTTCATCGTAAACTCTAAGAGCAGACAAGAGAAATAACCTGGAAATATATGGGGATAGAGGGAATTGGGGTCAAAGCTTATGCCAAGAGTTAACAGTTGTCTTCTGTATCCAATAAAGGCCAAAACAGAACGCTTCTCAACGAGAAGATGTGTATTATATATATAAGTTTTTGTAAACACCTGTCTGACTTACGTGCATTTCTCAGCTTCGTCCACAGAGAGGGGCACGGGCCATCTGCTTTGTTTAAGAAAGCAGGCATGACCTTTGGGTCCCACGTGCAAAGGGGTGCTGTGTTGGCCACCATGAAGCTTGGAGCCTCTTCTTGTTCTCCCCAGACGTTTCTTGCGAGCCTGGGGGACACGGAACTCAGCATGCTCTTGGCTCGTGCTCCGCCACTGTGCACGGGCCGCCTCGGGGCTGGTCCCGACATTCCTGGCACAGGGCTTGGCTGCTCCCCGGGCCGCGGCTGCCCTTTGCCCAGCTGCCTTGGCCAGAGGCGTGCAGCTGTAATTCGCTCCTAGGCTCCGAGGTGCAGCCCCGCCACTCTGCAACGTGTGCTCCTCTTGTCGTCCGCAGACAAGAAGAAGGGGGGCAAATTCCAGCCGTTTAAGAAGCTGTTTGGCAAAAGGAGAAAGAAAGACGCATCATCGTCGGCCCGGGAGGAGTCGGTGGGGAAGAAGAGTGACTCTCACCAGAGTGTCAGCAATGGGACTTTCTCTTCGGATGAGGAGGCGCTGGAGGACGGTCTAAGGTAATAGCTTGGCTTGCTTTTCAGGTCTTTGGTGGCGTCCCAGGGCGGGGGGATGGGATCCCAAAGGAGGTAGGCGCTGGTTTTGGTTTCAGCAGACAGGAGAGAATCACAGACGCGTTCCATCTCTGGGAAGGGGAAGACTCGGGGCGTTCTGTCACCTTGGAGAGTTCGCAAACGAGTCCGACCTCCGTTCCCTGTGCACGCAGGTGTTCTGCTGTCCTCACGGGTGGCAGGAGGCAGCACCTCACTGGCTCAGCTCCCCGGGGTTCCTCAGATGGGAGAAGACCGTGTCCTCGTGTGCCGTCACTTCCCGGAGAGACAGGGTGTCATGGGCTAGATGCTACGCCCTTGTTGAGGACGCAGACTGGGCACAGGTGGTCACCCTCGACCCCTGGCAGCTTCTGGAGGCTCGTCTGTGTTTGGACGACTCCTGCTCTTTGTTTTTCTCCCTCCCTCCCTCTCTTCCTTTCCCCGCCTCATAGAACACAGGCCCTAAATCTAGCTTTGACAGGGTCAGGGACTCGGGGCAGCAGGATCAGGAGGTACTTTCTCACCTGAGTTCCGGGAATCGAAGTCGCAGTCAGAGATGGTGAAACGCTCGTTCTGACAGCTCAGAAACCAGCTCCTCTGAGAAGCCTTTTGCAACCACCCGTCCTGATGTATTTGCCCTTGCCTGTGTTCCCCTGGCATCCTGCGCCTGGTCCAGCAAAGAACTTGTCACTTTCTGTGGAAACTGTTGATTTGCTTGCCTTTCTTGCTTGACTGTCAGTTCTTGAAGTCAGGAACCAGGTTTTATTCATGCTCAAAAAAAAAAGTGTCTTGTGAATGCCTGGCACTGTGCAAGTTAAGTTGAAGGACTAGATGGTATAATGTGTGATACTCTTGCTGTGTTTCAAGGACAAGGACAAAAACATCCTCTGTGGCACGTGTCAGTAAGTCAATTCTAGGAGACAGTACCACTGTGCCCGAATTACAAAACCCTTAACAAGCATTGCATGTTAAGCTTCACAGTGTTCGCCAGCAGCATTTGTTAGTCCTAAGCCTGACTCTTTCCTTGACATGCCAGTGTTTATTTTCTATTCTCTTTACCCTTTAGGGTAAGAAAACTGTTGAATTTAACCGAAGGGAAGGATTGCACTGAAAGGTGAACACAGCTAGCACTAACCCAACTGCTGGAGTGTCAGTACTGATATATATTTGAGCATTGTGCAGTATCAGCCAGTTGTGATTTGTATCAAATTCTTCAGTTGTAAAATAGGAATGTGAACTTTTTTTGCTGCACAGTAACAGAATGAGGAACACATACTAGGATATGACCAAGTACTAGTTTAAAACAAAATGTAATTGAGTCTGGAAAGTTCTCCTTTGGAAGGACAGACCTATGAAAAACACGACTCATCCTTCTTATAGTAGGTTGTGGTTTTTTCCAAGTCTGACTTCTAATTGAATCATGTTGGACTCTTAGAAGAGCCTGGACCCTGGTGGTTCTCTCCCCATTTAAGTCCTATATTCCATTACCTCTTAGGGTTTTCCTTAAGGTTTTAGATTTTACAAAGCCTTGGAAAATTCTACTTTGAATCAAATAGCTACATTTCTAATAATGTCACCTATTCTCATTATTGACTCCTGTTTGTAAACCTACATGTATGAAACGTGTACTATAGTTTAATTAAGCACTTGCTTTTATAATAAACTCTTCTTAGAAATGAGGAAGCCATAAGGATAAGCTTTGAACTATGAATTTTTTTAAATTTCACTTTCAGTATTTTAAGATAGAAACACAGAGCTGGGCGTGGTCATGTGTGGCTATCGTCCCAGCTACTCAGGAGGCTGAGGATCACATAAGCTCAGAAGTTCAAGGCTGTAATGTGTTAATGATTGTGCCTGTGAATAGCCACTGCACTCCAGCCTGGACAACACTGGGGGGGAAGATAGAAACACAAGAAAATAGAAGTAATTTATTAAAAATATGTATTCCCTCTTTCTAGGGAATTGACAATTAGAAAGTAATGTTACCCACAGAGTAAATATTTGCATGCATTGCTTACAGTATAGCCAAACTTCTGATCATGCACCCTATTTACAGATGGAGAAAATGAAGTATTGTTCCCACCAATTCTTGTGTTCTGTTCTCTGCTCGATGAATATGTTACTTTACATTGCGGTAATAATTCAAAAAACTTTTCTGTGCATCTTGTTCTCCAAAATGAACAGTTCTCACTAAAACACAAAACTCAAAATTCCACTAACATAATGTTGGGTAGAAATTCTAAAGAGGCAGATTTCAGCCCAATGTGAGGGCGAATTTCCTAATTACTAGAGCTGCTTAAAAACGGGAGGCTGGGCACGTGTGTGCAGGGCCTGTGAAGGTGGGATTTCTGCACCGGGCGGGAATTTTAGCTTTAAAGGAGTTGACCTTTAACATGCTGTCAAACCCCAAGAATCTATAATTCTAGAAATGTCTTCATGGCCAAGAATAGCTCCTTATTGATCTGGTCCTTCCGCTTGAAATTTTCCATTTCCTTTGAGCTTTTAAAGCATTCTGTTCTTTTCTCTATGTTAGAAGTCTTTATCTCTCCTAGGCTGCTGCTTTTAAAGTATATATTCCTTGGGTAAAGCGAAGCAATAGAAGATGATCAGTTTTTAACAATTTAATGTGAGTTCCTTTCTTAATTAAACACAACAAATATCATGTTTCCAGCAGTGTGTTAAGTAGACGTTACATTTAAAAAGGGGGTAACAGTCATCTTGGTAAATAGGTTTGGGAAATTCTGGGCAAAAAATAAATTAAATAGGAGCCTTTATCCTGTTAATTCCTAAGAAGTGGGATGTGTTAAGGAGCATTTTCAAGATTCCTTTGACCACAGACCCTGTTTTTACTGAGAATATGCCATAGCGTGTAGTAAAGCTACCACTAATTGAACTTAATACGATGTGTTTTGCATAGGTGAAGTCAAGTAATATTTACCATGACTCTTTAAAGCTGACAGCTCAAAGATGAGAAAACAAAGGCTAGAGAGTGACTTGCCTAAGGTCCTATAGCTGATAAGTCCCTGAGCCACTATTCAAGCACGAAAGAGTGCATTCTTAGGCAACTGCCCACTATTCTGCCTCTCAGGGAGGGTGCAGCCTCACTGAGGAGCTAGTCTCATGGCCCTGAGTTGTCATACTGGTCCTGGGTCGCTAGGTCAACTGTCCACCTGCCTCCAGCTGCCTGATTGAGGCTCTGCTACTCACTGGGACTTCACTTGTCCCGCTTCCAGTTTCTGTTGAACACCTAGCATTTATTGTATCATGCACAGCTACAGCAGTACTTTATATTAAGTGCCAGCTGTAAGCACAGTGAGACATGAAGGGGCTTCAGAGCAGGTGAGCTCACTCTGGGGCTAGAGCAGTCAGGAAAGGGTTCAGGAATGAGGAGACCTTGAGCTGGCTCCAAAAACTATGGGCAGGACTTGGAGTAGCTGAGAGGCGAGGCATGAACCTGTCAGATGATGGCATGAGCAGAAACTTTCATGCAAGAATAAATGTGGCACCTAGAACAGGAGGGAAATTTCCAACTCTGTGAGGACAGTGTTACCCTCATATTAAAACCAGGCAAAGACATCACAAGAAAAAAACCCCCACAGACCAATATCCCTTGTGACTCTAGATATAAAACTCCTCAACAAAATACTAGCAAACTAAATCTAGCAACATATAAAAGGATTACATGCCATGACCAGGTGGAATTTATCCCACGAGTGCAAGATTGGTTTAACAGACAAAAATCAATCAATATGACATATCATATTAATAAAATAAAGGACAAAAACCACATAATTATCTCAATATATATAGAAAAACCATTTGACAAGATCCAACACTCTTTCATGATTAAAAAAAAACAACACTCAATACTAGGAATAGAAGGAAACTCTTTCAACTTGATAAAGAGCATCAGAAAATCCACAGATAATATCATACTTAATAGTAAAAGAATAAGGGTGTTCCCTTGAAGGTCACAAAAAAAAAAAAAAAAAAAACAAGGATGTCTTCTCTCATCCCTTCTATTCAACACTGTACTGTATAGTACAACACTGTAGGTTATAGCTGGGACAATTAGAGAAGCAAAAGAAATAAAAGACATTAATCTTAGAAGAAGTTAAACTATTTCTGTTTGCAGACGTCATGATCTTGTGTATATTCCTTATCATGTGTGTATTCCTTAAGACATATAGAAAGTCCTAAGGAATATATACATACACAACTATTAGACTAATAAACAAGGTTAAGCAAGGTTGCAGGATAAGAGATTGGAGTTTTAGGGGTTTTTTCGAGATAGGGTCTTGCTCTGTTGGCCAGGCTAAAGTGTAGTGGCATCATCATAGCTCACTGCAACATCAAACTCCTGAGCCCAAGAAATCCTCATGCCTCAGCCTTCTGAGTAGCTAGGACTACAGCTGTGCACCACCATGCCTGGCTAATTTTTTAAAAATTTTTTGTAGAGATGGGGTCTCTCTATGTTGCTCAGGCTGGTCTCAAATTCATGGCCCCAAGTGATCCTCCCACCTCAGCCTCCAAAAGTCCTAGGATTACAGGCATGAGCCACTGTACCTGGTGAAGATTGAAGTCTTATATTTCTGTACACTAGCAATGGATGATCTGAAAATGAATTTAGGAAAACAATTCCATTTACAATAGCACCTAAAGCAATAAAATACTTAGGAATAAATTTAACCAAAGAAGTACAAAACTTGTACACTAAAAATGACAAACTATCATTGAAAGAAATTAGAGATCTAAACACATGGAAAGACATCCATGTTCGTGGATTAGAAAACATAATATTGTTAAGATGGCAGTACTCCCCAAATAGACATACAGATTCAGTGTGGTCCCTGTAAAAATCTCAGCTGTCGGCCGGGCACGGTGGCTCACGCCTGTAATCCTAGCACTCTGGGAGGCCGAGGCGGGAGGATTGCTCGAGGTCAGGAGTTCGAAACCAGCCTGAGCAAGAG